ATCTCGTCACACCAGTGCAGTAAAGACGTCAGAGTCATCTCGTCACACCGGTGCAGTAAAGACGTACCAGTCATCTCGTCACACCGGTGCAGTAAAGACGTCACAGTCATCTCGTCACGCTGGTGCAGTAAAAACGTCAGTCATCTCGTCACACCGGTGCAGTAAAGACGTCACAGTCATCTCGCCACACCCGAAATCCACAAGGTTGAAAGGAGAAGGTCATTTTGTAGCACACTTGCGAACAACAAACCCCTATTGTCATGGCAATCGCTAATCACGATTTTTTAAAACATTTTTTGGGGGGAAGGGGGGGGGGGGCTGTCCGAGTTGTCGTGCCTATAACCTGATCAGCTACATCGTTCATCAATATGTAGGCCTATTGACAGTAATGAAATCTATCAAGTCAGATCAACAAAGTAAAAGTTTTTAAGTATCATAGAAGAAAGGTGTGATCTGCAAGATCGTAATATTAGTTTTGTTAAAAATAAATTAGCTAATTACGGTACTGCAATTTTGCTAAAAGCTAGACCCTTACTTTCAAACAAAGCCTTATTAACTCTTTACCAGACATTGTTTTTGCCTTACTTAAACTATTGTTCAGCTATGGAACAGTTTGGACAAAGATTTAATTTACATTAAATAATTTTTATAACTTCGAAAAAAGCTTTACGCTGATCCTCCAAAACTCTACAAGCATAACAATTTGGGTGAGATATATATATATACATAAGCGAAGTCATTTCGTAACACATAACTGGGGTGTGACGAGATGACCGTGTGACGAAATGACTGGTTACCCCAAATATGGCTTTAACCAGTGAAGAAACAATGACATATATTTTAAAGAAATGGAAGAAACAAAACTGAGTGAGGAGAGGAAGAAATATGAGAAAAGAAAGCAGCCAATGAAGAGAAGAAGAGAAGAAAAGAAAACATGCAAAAGAAAAGCAGAGAAAGACTGAGGAGAGCAGGGGGAAAAAGGATGAGAAATGAGAAAAAAGAGAGGCAAAGGAAAGGGGAAGGCAGCAAAACGTTTGAGGTTTTAGGTAATTAGTAGTAGTAGTGAGGGTGAAGCAAATACAACATGCATTTGAGTGATGAGTCTGATGTTATGTTTACAGCCACATGCATGATATATATATAAGCTCCCTTAGACAAAATAGTCTTTTGATCACTTTTTATGCAGGAGAGAAGTGTGGACACGCCAGTTGTTCCATTCATTGAAAGAGAGTGAAAAGAATTCATATGTCAGTTACTCTGTCCACTTGTCTCAGTATGTCTACTAAGTCTAAATGTCTGCTATCTGCCTTTCTGTCTCTTCTCTCTCTGTGTCTCTATCAGGTGTGGTCTTTTTATCTTTTTTTTTCTCAAAATTCTGCTCCTTGTTACAAAACTATGACAATGAATATCATGATGATTTGAGCATCCTAATTTTACTCCTGTAAGTCAGAATATTTATCACTTTTTGATGTAAAAGTAGTCTTAAAGGTTTTAAGTCACTAGAGAGATCTATACATGGGTTTTATTGAGCATAATTCTAGGTGGCCGACCTTCCCGGACCCCTCCGGCCGACTTGTCCGGACCCGGCCGAAAATGAGCCAAAAATGCGAATGAAATTTTGCCAACACACAAAAAAAACATCCTCTACACAATGGTGGCAGTGGATTAAACTCTCGGTTATGATACTAGAGAGATCTATACATGGGTTTTATTGAGCATAATTATAGGTGGCCGACCTTCCCGGACCCCTCCGGCCGACTTGCCGAAAATGAGCCAAAAATGCTAATGAAATTTTGCCAACCCACAAAAAAAAAATAACCGAGAGTTTAATCCACTGCCACCATTGTGTAGAGGATGCTTTTCTGCTTGTGGTTTCCCGAGTGTCAACAACGATTGAGGCTCTCACAGCGTTGACATTTTTAAAAAAATTCTTGGATGGCCGAGATACCCAGACAGTACTCTAGATTCTCATGTAGACTTAAGCCCCAGTTACACGCAACAATAAATTGTATCAGATTCGTTGTATGAGAGAACTGTCCGTTTTATAGAACTGTGTTGTCTGTTTATACGTTCCAATCTATCATTAAGTTTTCTTTCGATTGAAGAGATTCCTTGTCATAAAGCCACCATCATGTCTCTTTGCGACGACAGCGATTTGCCTGCACTCTATGTGAAGGTTTCGAGCTCTCTGGACCTAATGAATGAAAGGCGAACACTGTACCTCTAGATCACGAGAGCCCCCC